CTCTCACACACGCTCTCTCTCTCTCTCTCTCTCACACACACACACTCTCTCTCTCTCTCTCTCACACACGCTCTCTCTCTCTCTCTCTCTCACACACACACACTCTCTCTCTCTCTCTCTCACACACGCTCTCTCTCTCTCTCTCTCTCACACACACACACTCTCTCTCTCTCTCTCTCACACACGCTCTCTCTCTCTCTCTCTCTCACACACACACACTCTCTCTCTCTCTCTCTCACACACGCTCTCTCTCTCTCTCTCTCTCACACACACACACTCTCTCTCTCTCTCTCTCACACACGCTCTCTCTCTCTCTCTCTCTCACACACACACACTCTCTCTCTCTCTCTCTCACACACGCTCTCTCTCTCTCTCTCTCTCACACACACACACTCTCTCTCTCTCTCTCTCACACACGCTCTCTCTCTCTCTCTCTCTCACACACACACACTCTCTCTCTCTCTCTCTCACACACGCTCTCTCTCTCTCTCTCTCTCACACACACACACTCTCTCTCTCTCTCTCTCACACACGCTCTCTCTCTCTCTCTCTCTCACACACACACACTCTCTCTCTCTCTCTCTCACACACGCTCTCTCTCTCTCTCTCTCTCACACACACACACTCTCTCTCTCTCTCTCTCACACACGCTCTCTCTCTCTCTCTCTCTCACACACACACACTCTCTCTCTCTCTCTCTCACACACGCTCTCTCTCTCTCTCTCTCTCACACACACACACTCTCTCTCTCTCTCTCTCACACACGCTCTCTCTCTCTCTCTCTCTCACACACACACACTCTCTCTCTCTCTCTCTCACACACGCTCTCTCTCTCTCTCTCTCTCACACACACACACTCTCTCTCTCTCTCTCTCACACACGCTCTCTCTCTCTCTCTCTCTCACACACACACACTCTCTCTCTCTCTCTCTCACACACGCTCTCTCTCTCTCTCTCTCTCACACACACACACTCTCTCTCTCTCTCTCTCACACACGCTCTCTCTCTCTCTCTCTCTCACACACACACACTCTCTCTCTCTCTCTCTCACACACGCTCTCTCTCTCTCTCTCTCTCACACACACACACTCTCTCTCTCTCTCTCTCACACACGCTCTCTCTCTCTCTCTCTCTCACACACACACACTCTCTCTCTCTCTCTCTCACACACGCTCTCTCTCTCTCTCTCTCTCACACACACACACTCTCTCTCTCTCTCTCTCACACACGCTCTCTCTCTCTCTCTCTCTCACACACACACACTCTCTCTCTCTCTCTCTCACACACGCTCTCTCTCTCTCTCTCTCTCACACACACACACTCTCTCTCTCTCTCTCTCACACACGCTCTCTCTCTCTCTCTCTCTCACACACACACACTCTCTCTCTCTCTCTCTCACACACGCTCTCTCTCTCTCTCTCTCTCACACACACACACTCTCTCTCTCTCACACACACACAAACACACACACTCTTCAGCTGTGCTGTGTTGCTCAGGTGTGGAGATCATGTGACGGTGAGTGGAGGTCCTCTAGTGGCCACTTTCTCTATTTGCGTCTGTAGATTTCAATCTTTAAAGAGTTCTTTCTTTTACAAACAGCAAGCTTTACAGTTTTATTCCTCTCTATAATCTACACATATTTTACTCCTAAAAACATGGTACAGATGTGTTTGTTTTCTGTCTGTTGGCAGTATTTTCTGATTTATGGGGTGATAGAAACAGAAATCCAGAATCCCCTCTGGAAAAAACCTGTAACTCTATTATGACGACAAAATCAAACAGGAATTATGAACCTGAATTTATCCAATCTTCAGATTTATGTGCTGGAAATGTGTGCAAATGAAATTAGAGATTAACATATTAAAGCAGTGATAACATTTAAAGAATATTAAATATATATATATTGACTAATCTTTATGTACAACATCATTTAATATTTCAGCTCATTATTTATGGTTGATTATTCCCTCCTCCTCAACAGTGACTCCTCCTCTCACAGCAGAGGCCACACCCACTGCCCCGCCCCCTCCACATTAATCGACGCCTCCTCACCCAGCATTCAGTGTTTGTAATATATTGTTGAATAAACATGTTTGTAACATGTAGAAAGTCCACTTTTGTTTTATTGTATTTGTACAAGCGTCTCGCATTACTGACGAAAACCTCATGAATAATTCCAGTGATTGACTTCATACTTTCTTTTTGCTTCCAGCAAATTAATTAGTGCAGTTTAATCACTGGAAATCACCAAGTTGGTTGCTGGCATCATTTTAATTTATTCATAATATTTTTGGATTCCAGGTTATTTTTTAATTCTATTTTTATTTTTTTATTTTTATTCTAAAACCATATTGTATCTGCTCAGCAACTTCCCGTTAGTGAGTGAATGTGAAAAATAAAATAAAATCAATACTGATGAGAAATTTTATTTGAATTTATCATTGTATGAATTTTATAAGAACAAATAATCTGAGAATTACCAAAGGAATTAATAGAATTTATTACTCGTGATTAGTCCAAATGACTGAATCCTGCATGTTTATTTCTACCAAAACAACTTAAATATTACACTGAAAAGTTTTCAAATCTAAAATGTATTTTACTTGAATAAACTTTCACTTTCAGATGAAAAAATGAGTTTTTCATGCTGCAATCATTCGTCAATATGTGTACGTATTCATATTTATTAACAAAATGCAGTTCAAATGTGTGTGAGATATGGGGAAAAGGGTAAATATATTTTACAAACTTTTTTTGACACTAATATAACTTCATAAATAATTTTATAAAATGTATTTTGACACCTAATGGGACAAAACCTGACCACAAAAAGTGCAACTTTTAAATGATGTGTATTTTAAGGCTCTTAATGCATTTGCAAAGTTTTGTTTACTTACTAAAAAAAATGCATTGTTTAGAATTTGTTATATCTCTCTTCCAGTATGTGGAAACATCTCTGCATCTGCTGCGTTTAAACCCTCGGAGGAGTCGCGTGTGTGTGTGTGTGTGGGAAAGTTTGATGTGTGTGAGTGTGTGTAAAATAAGCAGTCAGCACTATGTCAGGCTGAAGACAAAGGCAGTGTTGTAAAAGTGAGTGTGACTGTCAGGATTGTTGCAGCTGCTGCGTCTGTCGCATGCAGACAGGTGCTGTGTGTGTGTGTGTGTGTGAGAGAGAGAGAGAGAGAGAGTGTGTGAGAGAGAGAGAGTGTGTGTGTGTGTGTGTGTGTGAGAGAGAGAGAGAGTGTGTGTGTGTGTGTGTGTGTGTGTGTGTGTGTGTGTGTGAGAAATGCCAGAGGAGCTGACCGCTTGAGACTCTGATTAAATGATGAGACTGGAAAGAAACAATGTTTTTCATGCACTGGTCAGTTTTGAGATTTTGCTCTATTTTGCTTCTTTAACATGTCAGACTAGCAGAAAGATAACAGGGAAAAAATATGCATTTAATGTTTATTTTATTACACTTTATCTGTTTGCATCTACAGATTTCAAGACACCATATGCACTGGTCAGATTTGAGGATATTTGGCTTTTCTTAACTTGTTTTTGGCAAAATAGACTTTTAATTGCTTATTTTATTGTGCGTTATCTATTTGTGTTTTACTTATTCTCCATATCATGTCTCTTCTTTCAGTCTAGTGGAAAGAAAACATCTAAAATACACATTTAAGTTTGTCTTATTGCACTTTCTTCTGCATTTTGATCATCTTAATATTCATGATGTGTCCATAAAGTCATAGTTGCTGGTGTTTCCATGATGGACTGCACTAATCATCTCATTTCACGCCTAATTAGAGTGGATCGTTAGGGCTCGTGTTAGTTCAACCTGCTCTGATCCACATAAAGAGTCTTTTGTTTAACAAATAAAACCTGGTTTGTGTCCATTCATCTTAAACGATCAGAAAGTCGACTGAAAATTGTGCTGTTTATTTAATCATCTTCAATTTGGAAGTATTAGTGTTGCTATGGAGGTACATCTCTGCCACAAGACAAAACAAACAAAAAAAAATGGAAAAGGTGATAGCGACTTTTTATCTCACAATTCTGAGTTTTCTGAGTTTCTTACAATTCTGGCTTTTTTCCTCAGAACTGCGAAATATAAACGTAGAATTATAAAATAGAAATTCACAATTCTGAGAAAAATAAGAATTCAGAATGTAATGTATTCTGACTTTTTTTCTGAGAATTGCTAGATATAAACTCACAATTTTAAAAAACAAATGTGGAATTGTGAGGCACAATGTATCGTTCTGTTTTTACATTAAACTTAAAATTGTGAGATAAAAAGTCGCAATCACCTTTTTCTTATATAATAAATTATAATATATGTATTTAATGAATGTATAAAAATGAAAGGTGTATCAACAGTACAGTAAGAATCACAACAAACCGTGTTTATGCAAAAGTAAAATAGTTTGTTAGTGAAATCTATGCTGTTTATGGTTGCCGGGCAACGTAGCGCTTTAATACAGAATGGCTTCACACGTGCATCGTCAAGTCAGAATTTAGATTTGATTATCATTCAATTATAAATGATCTAACATCAACACATTTCCTTCCGCCAAGTAATATAGTTCATTAGTCTGACTGTAGAGTGTAGACTGTTACGGTTGCCAAGCAATGTGGCGCATTAATACACTGAAATGCAGAGAATAAAAATGGGCTCATCCAATCAGATTTCAGTGCCGGAACTATATTTTTGGTAAGGATTGTTTATGGTGTAAAAGTTGACTGAAATATTTCATTTGCACTACTTTCAACAGCCGTTTTTATATTAAAGTCACAATATCTGCCCTTTTGTTTTGGTTAAATGGTAATCAGTGTGTGTGTGTGTGTGTGTGTGTGTGTGAGAG